AAAATGAGTCATGGTTCTTGCCTTTTGATTTCTAGCTCCTCAAAAAGAAACAGTAGTTAAACAGCCATCTGTTGGATTCTACAGGTGTTTAAGCAATGGTCCTGGGGACCTAAGGAAAATCAGCGTGATGTCTTCCCCCAGACTCATCCCCACCTGGAAAGATTTTAACTACCTCATAAATGATATCATACATAAAAACAAGGTAATGTACAAATACGCCATTAGTTGGCCTCTGTCTTACAATAGTGACCATTTGGAGAACCCGTAGATTGTCCATGAATGCAAGAAGCAAGCAGGACAAACTATCAAGATAATTGTCACTTTAGGAGAAAGCGGACCACCCATTTCCAGATAAGACCATAGGCCTCTTGCAAAGGTACTTTATGGTAGACAAACACTTTGAAGCATTGTCAGAACAACCAGTGCTCTGGAAAGAGAAATGTCCTAACAGAAGGGAGAGGGCAGCAGGAGAGCATTTGCCAACCTCAGTTTTGCTATGGATAGCTCTGTGCAAATGGATCCTTGGTAAATGTTTCAAAGCACATGTTCTAGTACCGTGTATGTGCTGTTCCCATCAAACTTAATGGCCAGACAGGGTGTCCTAGCATCTTACTTCTACATTTTTAAGTTTGATAACTTTTTAAAAAAATTTTATTTATTTATTTATGTGTGTGTGTGCGTGTGTGTGTGCGCGTGTGTGGCCAGCTCAGCCCACCAGGGGGCGGGGCTGGCTGGCATGTGGTGCTGGGGGATTAAACCGCGGTCCCTGTGCTTTGCTAAGTTTCTGCTAAGTAGGTGCTTTAGACCACTGAGCTATCTCACCAGCCCTAAGTTTGATAACTTAGGACTGCATTGACTTTTAGGCGATCCTGTTAAGGTGATATACTCAGTACCTTTTAGTCACAAGGGAGAATGTTAGAAGACAGATGTGCCAAATGTCACTTTGGGAAGAACATCATTTTCCCCTTTACCCCCACTATAAAATTGTCCATACATGGCCTCAGGGTTCTGGCTCCTGCGCATGTTGTGAGATTTGTCACACGTGCAGAGATCCCATTGGTGGTAAGCTGTGCATGTGTGGGTGTAACAGGAGTTAGGAGGGGTGGGAGGTATGATTTGGGGAACTTTTTCAATCCTGAATCTTGTGAGACTATTTAGGCCACGTGGGCCCTGGCCTCTTACTTTATGCTATGCCTCTATCCAGGAATCTTCAGATGACTCAAAGAGTGATACAGTTGTTCTGAGTGACCGGTCCCAGACACTGTTCAAAGAATCTCGCTTTCCTCAAAATATGCCATTTATATGCTACTACTTCTGTGATGCCTACTTCTTTGCTTCTCTCTCCTGGGTGACACCCCACACAAAAGAAATGCAGGTAAGCGCTTTCTCTTCTTTATGTTTTTCCTTCCTCGCTCCCTCTCACTGTCCCCATTTCTCTCTTCCCCTTCTTAGACCACTTTCCATGGAAAGTGGGCTAAGCTGGCAAAAGAGCTTGCAGCTCTCACACTAAGCTGACAAAGGAGTAGATGCTGCTTAAATAAATGTAACCTGGATCCTGATGCCCTCCCACCTACTTTCCCTGTCTCCGTGTTGAGTACACTTGAGTTCCCCTACAGTAGACTGAGGACCCCACTTCCAAGCCCATCACTAGGGCGCAAAATCACTCTAGAGTCTTCCATTTCCTCCTTAACAAAAGAACAGGGGAAAGTAGCTGAGTATTTGGCCCCTTTCTCCTTGACTATCCTTTCTATTTGGTCTCTACCTTATTGTCTTCCAGGCTATAGTGTGGTTGAAGAGTAAATCTGAGGACACAGTTGAGAAGAAAGCATTCTTCATGAATGAGCGACTGCCACCCATCCAGTCAATGGTCCACACGGGTTCCTATCATATCCTTGTGGCCTACTGTGGTGACCTGATTCTGCGCCTCTTTGGGGACCACTTTCGGGCATTCAAACCCCTCGCCACAGTGCCCTGCCGCTTCAACATCAACTGTCTCTGCTATGACCCAGAAATGAAGATGCTTCTGTCTGGCATCCGGGGTTTAGTGGTCACCTGGGTCATTGATCAAAGTGGCAAGGGCCTCCAGATAGCTCACATGATCTCCATCCCTGGTAATGAGCTTGTCCAGGACATTGTGCTGAATGGCCCCAATGGCTCTGTCCTAGCCCTGTGTGAGACTGTGGTGAGAGCCCTTGAGCGCCATGGCCAGGGCATGCTGGCAGAGATGAAGAAGTTCATCTCCACCAGCAGTGGCTCCTCTATCACCTGCTGCTTCACGGCTTTGGACAAGGGTTTTCTCTATGCTGGAAACCAGGCAGGGGAAATCCAAGTATGGAATGTCAATCACAGCCATGCCCTCTACAGTTTCAAGGCCCACATCTCATTAGTGGTTTGTATCCGCAGCCGATCAGAGGCCAACACCCTGCTAACAGCTGGCCAGGAAGGCCTCGTGAAGGAGTGGAACCTGACTTCAGGGAACCTGCTTCGGCGACTAGAACTTGGCGAGGAGCTGTACCGCCTCCAGTTTATTGATGACACTACCTTCTTCTGCCAAACTACCCATACATTTTTCTTGTGCCAACTGCCCTGCTTCTATAGCCTCTTTCATGTCTGTGGCTCTGCTCCCCAGCAGGTGCATCGGGTCTGCTGTGGTGATGATTGGTACAGGATCCTGTGCATTACAGATGATGGCCTGTTGCGCTTTGTGTCCCCAATAACAGGGGACCTTCTGCTTCTCACCTGGCCCTTCTCCATCCTGGACGAGGCTGTGGACTGGGCCTATGACCCACGTAAAGAGGAGCTCTTTGTGGCAACAGGCAACACAGAGGTGCTGGTTTTTGACACAACCCATAATCCATCCCCAGCCAAGTATATTTTATGCAGCTCAGTCAATTCTCAGGACTTTGTACACTGCCTGGCTTATGGGCATTTCCATCTGGGGCGAGGGATAGAAGGACTGATATTCTCTGGGCACCAGAGTGGTATGGTAAGAGTGCTTTCCCAGCACAGCTGTGCCCGAATAGAGAAATTCATACACTATGGGGCTGTACTGGCACTCTCTACGCTGTCTGCGAGGCTTCTGGGTGGCCGAGAAAACTCTTTGCTGTGTTCTTATGGGATGGATGATTATATACACTTATCAGAAGCTGTGCTTGAGGGGACAAAATTACAACTGCAGCCTCTCTCAAGCATTCTCAGCAGCTGTCACCTAAAACAACTGGTACTCTTGCCCCACGCTGTGGGTGCCATCACAGACACTAACTGCCTGCGTCTCTGGAAGTTCCATGATTTTATGTCCTATGAGTCACGTCCAGGCTCAAAATTCATAGAGACCTTGCCTCTGCACCAATGTACCATCACATCCTTTGATGTCTGCTTGTCTCTGAGTCTTTTTGTCACCACTGGCAGTGATGGCTCTGTCCGGATCTGGGACTTCCATGGTAGACTCATAGCCATGCTGGACTCATCACTGCACTTTGGCCCAGTCTGCTTTGCCAATGACCGGGGTGACCTGCTGGTGACTTTCAATCAGGGTCTTTATCTGGTATCCTGTTTAAAACTGCTTCCCCCTAGCCTGCTTTCTCTCCTTTCCTTAAGGAGTATAACAGATGAAGTGCTAGAAGCCCCTAAGCCTTTCATACCAAGCTTCCTTTTCTCTTTTGAGATTATGTTTGTGCCCAAGTATATCTACCTTGGTCAGGGGAAACAGGAACTATTGGGCCTGCAGAACCTTATCAATAAGCGGGCCATTGCCTTCGACCATTCTGTGCCACATGTGATAGAAGAAGATGCGGATGGCAGTCCCGTGTTACTGGGTACTGGCAAACATGTGGCGGAGGTGCAGGTGAGCAAGCCTCCTCATCACCGTTACGTGGTTCCTCCCCAGTTGCAACTGACTTACTGGGATGGCCTGTACCCTTACCACATACTGAGATGCTACTTTGGTTCTGGGAGGGAATGGTTCCTTGCCCCCGATTGCTACATCCCCAACTCAGTGATTCGTGCCCGTCTCTGGCCAGAGGGCAGCCCAATCCACCTACAGTGCAACCTGCACGCACCCCAGCGGGAACTGGAATGGGAACTGCCTGAACCCTTCTTCTTATGGCACAGCAGGGTCAGAGCTTTAAGTGAAGCACAAGAATATGAAGAGAAGGAGGATGAAGGCTTTCTAGCAATGAGAAAAGCCAAGGAAGGAACCTACAGTGTCCTTATGGACTCAGCAAGCCAAAGTTGGCTGGGTAGAAAAATGAGTGAAATAGCTATCAGTAACCTAATTGAGACAGTTCTCAATATTATGCTCCATGCTTCCCCACTGAAGTATCAGTGCTGTATTGGTGCACTAGGGCAGATCTTTGCCTCTTATCAAGTGTCTCCATCCCTGCGCTCTGAGACCGCCCACCGTCTGGTGGATGATACAGCCAATTCCAACCCACTGATCCGAGAGCTAGCCTGGGAAGGGCTGAAGCGTCTAGGCATGGTCACTCATCTCTTTGCCTTGCCTCTGGCCCAAGGGTTAATGGATAAGGATGAAAGAGTGAGAAATAAGGTCCTCAGCATCATGCCTGACACTGGAGTCCACTCTAGGACCTCACTCTTAAACTTGATCCAGGCACCAGACACTTTCCAGGAAATGAAGTAAGTTGTGCTGTCCTCAGTTTTTTACTACTTGCTAAATTTCTTCTTCTTGTCTCCATTTGCCCAGTCTTTCTTTACTATCTTTTTTTTTTTTTAATCTCTGATCATCAGGCCTCCCAAATCCTTTTTCTTTTTGAGATGGGATCTTGCTATGTTACCTGGATTAGGGTCAAACTTGTGATCCTTTTGCCTCAGCTTCCCAAGCAGCTGGGGTTACAGGTGTATTCTTGGTTTCATAGATTTTTTTTTCAATTCCTAGACTATCCTTGATGATTCCGTCTACTCTTTCCTCCATTTCTTTGCTATTTACTGCCTGTCTTTGTCTTCTTCAAAATCTACTTTCCATTCTTTCCTGCAGCTCCCATATAAATCCCTTCAATCATGGCTATCTTGGCTTCTTAGATTTTTTTTTTTTTTCTTTTTGACCATCATTTACCTCTATCTATGCTGCCCCTCTTGGTCTCTTTGCCAAAGCCCCTGCCTGTTCTAGAGCAGTTCTTTCCTGCCCATTCTTTCCCCTGTCCCTGATTCAACATAGTTTTTCTTCTGCTTTGACCTTCATAGACAAGAGATGATTGGGGAGGAATCCCTGGACCACCTGCTGGGGATGCGGCCCACAGACCTCCAAATCCTTTTCTCTCAAGTACAGCAGCGACTGAATGAAAACTTGACCTTGTCACAAGAAGATATGAAGCCTTATTTTTCTTTACATGTCTTAAGGCCTTCTGTACCTACTATACAACCTCCCACTATTCCTGAAGAAACTGAAGTCAAGCGCAGCAAAGGCCAAAGACGGGGTCGACTCGGGGGCAAAAAGCACAGTATGTATGGAATGATCTGATCCATGCCTCAGGGTTCCTAAGAAGCAGGGTAGTTAGGACTAAAACAGGTCAGTTGATACTGGGGAGAAAGAGGTAAGTAGAAAGATTTCCTCATAGAAGAATATTCTCATAGGAACTATCTTCTCAAACTTGGGACAATCCCAAGGGCCATTTCTCCTAGGACTGCTGAAGGGGAAGCAGCAGGAGTACAGAAAAGACTTTTTTTACTTAAAAATTTTTATTATGACATGTTTACAGTAATGATTAAATTCATCATAAGGAATTGACATGTCTATAAGGGAATGCTTTTTTAAATTTTTCTTTTCTTTTTTTTTTAGCCTTAGCCCTCTCTTTGCTCCTTCTTCCATGGTAGTTCCCTTAGTTCATACCAGAATTAAGAAGAGCTAGTCTCCCATGTTCTTCTGACTTCCATGTCCTGATTTTTTTCTGCAGCCAAACTGTCACGAGGTCTCAGAAAGATGAAAGAAGGAGACTTTAAACAGACGAGTACAGAGCCAGGCCCAGCAGAAGTTGAAATTTATCAGGGTGAAACTGTGCCACTTGAGATGGAGGACACAGCTTTCTACTACAGGTCTTCAATCAGTAGTTTAAATGACTATCAAGATGTTGAGCTTTCAGACATGTACTTCCCAGATAGTCACATTTCTATGCCCCTGAAGGCACTAAAGAAAATGCATCATACAAGAGGCAAGAAAACTCCAGCTCAGAAACCCATAAGGAAGCACAAGAAAAGAAAAGAGGAAACAGCTGTAGTTGAGGAAGCTTTGCCTATTATAATAGAAGAACCAATTAGGAAAAAAATTAAACCTCAGGGGCGGGGTGCTGCCGGAGTGCCTGGCCATAGAGCTGGAGATAGCATCTCATGGCGGGATGATCTATGTCGTCTTATGACCCTGAGGATATCTGGTTCCCAAACAAACATGTCAGAAGATATAAATGCTGAGTTAGTGACTACAGCTCAGGAGATTCTGGCAGATCAGAGGCCCAGCTGGGAACTCTTTCAGAAGATCTGCCCCGTGTTAAAGAAAGAAAGCAAGGATATGCTTGAGGACCTTGGTGGAGATGTAGTTTGGCCAGAGGAGAAACCAAGTTCCATCTATGAAGAAGTAATTAAAGAAGACATGGTTATCAGAGACAAGAGAGAGATGGCAGTGGAGCAAGAAGAGCAAGTGCAAATGGAAGAAAAGGAGGGCTTGCACGAAGTAGTTTCAAAAAGAGGCAAGAAAAAGCATGTTATTTTTTTAGAACCAGGTGACCTAACTAAAAAGAAACAAAAGTCAAAGAAGGAAGAAAAGAAATCCTCTAAGAAGGTATCTAAGGAAGAGAGGAAAACAGGTCAGGAGGAAAGCAAAGTAGGTAAAAAGGAGAAGAAAATAACCAAAGGAGAGAAAGATGTGAGTAAGAAAGTAGAGGAAATGACAAAATCAGAAGAGAAAGTGGTGGAGCCAGAAAAAAAGCCAGTTAGTGTTGAACAAAAGCAGTCCTGGCAGGAGTGGAAGAGCTCATGGGATCAGTGGAAACAGGCCCACAGTGAGAGAAAGATATCCTGGGAAGAATGGAAGCAAGACTGGGACAAAACCCGTCTTCAGGAAGAGAAAAAACTACCCCAGGCTAAGCAGAAGTTATTACTGGAGGAAAAAGTGCAGGAGGGGAAGAAAAAGAAGCTGAGTTTGGATGAGTGGAAACAGGTCTGGGAAAATGTATTTTCCTTCAAGTCCAAAGAAAAGAAAGAACTGACTTTAGAAAAAGGACTGGTCAAAGAGAGGGAGGAAGTATCTAAGGAATTGGAGAGAGAAAGAAAAGATAAAAAAGAAGAGCTGCCCCCTACAGACAAGCAGAGACAGATTCAAGAAGAACAAATAAAAATGTATGTACAGAGAAAACAAGCCCAATATAAAAGAGGAGAAGACAAAGAGGGAAAAGGATTAGCACGAGAAGAAAAACTCACAGAAGAAGAGAAAAAGCTGATCCAGAAAGAGAGAAAATTTGCCCTGAAAGATGATCAAATAGCCCAGATAGAGAGTAAATTTGCCCAAAAAGAGGAAAAATTGGCCCAAAGAGAAGAGGCATTAAGCCACAAAGCAGAGAAATTGGCCCACAAAAGGAAGAAACTGAACAAGAAATTGGAGAAACTTCCTCAGGAAGAAAAGAAACTAACAAGGAGAATAGAGAGAGCTATTGAGGTAAAAATATTACTGGCCCAGAAAACAGAAATGTTGAAGGAGAAGGAGCAAAGTCTGGAATGGCAAGAAAACGAGCTGGCTGAGGAACTAGAGGAACTGGAAAGGAACATGGAAGACCTGGCTGCAAAAGAAGTTGAACTGAACCAAGAAGAAGAGAGATTGGTTAAGGAAAAGGAGCAACTGGCTCAAGAAGAGCAGGTACTGGCCTTCCGAGAGGAGATTCTGGCTAACAAAGAGAAAACCTTGGCTGAGGAAGAAGAACTGCTGGTGCAGGAAGAACAGAAACTGGCCCAGGAAAAGGAAAAAGACTCCAAGGAAGCAAGAAGATTGGCTCAGAAAAGGCAGAAACTGATAGAGGACAAAGAGAAACTGGCCCAGGAAAAGGAAAAACTGGCCCAAAATAAGAAAGAATTCACACAGAACAGGGAGAGACTGACCCAGATGGAAGAGAATCTGGCTCAGAAAAGGAAGAGTTTGGCTCAGGAAAAGGAAAAACTGGCTCAGAGGAAAGAGATTCTCCACCGTGTCGAGGAAGAGCTCCTCCAGGAGAGAAACAAATTAGCTTGGGCAAAACAGAAAGTAAGTATGTACAGGGAGACATTGGTTCAGGTAGAAGAGAAGCTAAAGCAGGAAAATGAGGTATTGGTCAACAAGAAGGAGAAGCTGGATGCTATAGAGAAGAAACTGGGTCAAGTAGGTGGGATTCTGGCTAGAAAACAGGAGAAAGTGGCCCAGAAAAAAATGGAATTGTCTGTGGCAAAAAAGGCAGTGCTCCAAGGAAAGAAAATGCTCAGAGATGAGCTGGATGTTGCTGAGGAACAAAAGGCATTGAACATGAAAAGGAAGATGATGGCACTTCAAAAACTAGTCAGCGATGAAAAGAAAGTAACCCATGAAGAAATAAAGATGACAAAGATAAAACGGTCACTTGTCAAGGAGAGCAGACTGAGCAAGGAACAGAGCAGACTTGATATTAAAGAGTTGCATCTTTCTGAGCAAGAATTAAAACTGGCCATAGATGAGAAGAAAATGGCTAAAAAGCAGAGAGAAATGGCCAAAGAAATGAGAACTGTTACAGCTCAAGAGAAAAAATTCCCTGAAGAAAAAAGTAAATTGGCCAAGGAACTGAGAAAAGCCAAACAGGCTGCAGAAAAGGAAGGAGTAATGGAGGAGGAAGAGGAAATCCTGTCCCTTAAACAAAAGCGGAGAAAAAGAAAACAGTTAAAAGAAATTGATACCCAAAAGGGAAAGTTTCACAGAAAATTGGATGAGATAGAAAGTGAAGAGAGCATTTCTAGGGAAATAGAAATTCTGTTAGAAGAAGTAGAAGAGAGTTTGTCTGAGGAAGAGGAGGAGGAGGAGGAGGAGGAGGAGGAAGAGGAGGAAGAGGAGGAGGAGGAAGAAGAGGAGGAAGAGGAAGAGGAAGAAGAGGTGGAGGAAGAGGAGGAAGAAGAGGAAGAAGAGGAAGAGGAGGAAGAGGAAGAGGAAGAAGAGAAGGAAGAAAGGAAGGAGAAGGAGAAAAAGAGGAAGAAAAAGGAAGGAAAGAGGAAGAAAAGGAAGGTGGAAAAGGACATTGGTTTCAAGGTAGAGGAAGAAGACATGAGTGAGAAAGAACTGGAAAGTTTGAGTGAGAGAGAAGAGGAGAAAAGCTCAATAGAATTGGACAAGGAAGAAGACAGCCTAAAAAGAGAACTATTTAAACTACAAGAAGAAAGAAGAAAGGACCTACAAAGAAGGGGAGTGGTCCCTTCTATTGGAGCAAGATCCACTAGGGGCAAAGACAGTGGTCTAAAACTGGGAGTTCTAAAAGTCCCTTCCAGACAACCGATCCCAGTACCTATGGATATGGGAGGGAAGATACCAATGCCACTACCAGTTCAACAAACATTCTTGGAAGAAGAACCCACAGCACTCCAGACATGGAGTATGTTCTCAAAGGTGCAGTTGAAGGATAAAGAAAGAGAACTGTTTGAAAAATATAAACACATGCCTCTACATGTTTTGGATACAATTTTAGTGTCCCAAGAGCAGGACATGAAGACATCATACATGCCCAGCATATTTAGGAAAACCATGGCAGCTCATAAATTCAAACAGAGACTCCCAGATGCCAGGTGGAAGTGGCTTTTAGAGCATCATAGGTCTCTGACAGAAAAGAGCAAGGCACAACCACATCTTGCCCATATCCTGGCTTACAAACATCCAGAGGTACACGTAAGCCTCTCAGACATAGTGTGGATCCACCAGGTCCTAGAATGGATGGAGGCAGGAGAACAGCTTTCCAGAGATAGCTTCCACAGATTGTGTCAGCTCCTCAAAGACCTGACCTCAGAGGGAAACTTAGAGTGGCTACGTCCAGCCACGCTCAAAACCATTGTGCACCATCACTTGCGGACTCTGGAGCCACAAAGCAAAAGAGCCTCAAAGCTCAGTAGGGAACTTAGGACTCTGAAACATCTGAAAGTGATTCCTCCTATAAGGAGGAAGGAAAAGGAAAGTTGGCTAAAACCTTTGACTGTCCCCAAACCATTAGCTTCGAAGACTGCTACAGACCCAAAGGCTACCAACTGGCATCTTCTAAGTGAGCCTTACAGGAGTGCACAGATACAGCAGTTATCCAGTGCTCTCAGACAAATGCAAACACAGTTTTATCCTGCCACAAGAGACCTGTTCACAGGTTCCCATGCCTCTGTGGACAGACAAACGCTGGCACTAATGTTTCAGAAAGACCTTAGGGCCTTTAAGCGTAAGGAAAGATTTCCCAAATTGCCCAAGTTGGAGAAGAAGACACAGCCTATCTCACAAAAAAAGGAAAAGGTCCCTCCATGGGAGACATTTGTGGCACTGTATCATGTTTTGCGGATGCTCCGGCAGCGATATGCTAAAGATACCACTGCTTGGATAGAACAGTTCCATCAGCTCATGGACTTGTACCAGCTCAAGTCCCCCAGAATCCAGAGGCTGCTACAAGATCTGCTACTGGGAGAGGAGTCTCAGCCTGAACAGATCATCTACAAAGAGGCCCTGCAGGCCATGGAGCTAGTACCTGGGGAACGGGTGTTCTACTGCCTGGTTTGTGGTGGTTCTCACACACCAAGAAGCACACTGGGGTTCCAGGATGTCATACCACTTCCTGGGCAGAATAACGTGTGCACCTCCCTTCCTGTAGGTATTGCCCAGTATGGGATCTTAGAGCTTGCCTGGAAGAGCCTGCCCCAAGCTGATACTTGTCTCACCAAGGAACTTCCCCACATCATTGCCAGCACTCCCAAATTTGAGACTCATTAGAGGTCAGAACCTTTCATTCTCAACTGGAGAAAGCTCTGCTCATCAAAATCTAGAGCTTCATCTCTAGGGACCAGATCAAATCCTTTTTCCTATTCAGCTCTGGAAACCTGTTTCTCCATGTGGAATAAAGAAGAGGCTCTTTTTTGCAACAAGTACCTTGATGTGTTCATTTTCCCCAAAATTTACATTTTTAGGAAGGTCACCAGAGATACATAGTTCTGTGAATGGGAAAATGTCCCAGCAGTCAGTAGTATTTACTCTGTGAAGCTCCCGCAGAGTCTGTCCTTGTCCTTTTCCTTCCTTGTCTTCCACCATCCCCACTCCCATAACTACAGGCAGGAAAGCAACTGTCACAAAACTAATGTATATATGCACTAATTTAATATTAATCTAAGAGGCAGAATGGATTTAAGAATCTGAAGACCTAACATTTAGGTATTTGGGGGCCTACTGTGGGAAATGACTAATTTCCTGATCACAGCTGTGTATGATGATGTCTTGAGTTCCAAATAGCAATTGTGTAGAGTGTTGATATCCTTAGAGTAAAGGAAAAAGCTTCATCAAGTTTGAGCCAGTACAATTTGTTGAGTTCATCACTGGATCCCACTAAAGAATGAAGCTATTTGAGGTTAAAGCAGGAAGAAAATAAAAGGACCCTATGCCTTTCATTGCCTTTGCTACCACCTAGACATGGGGTTTTAGAGAGTGATAGAATAAGAATTAGGAAGACTGAAGCTGGGATGATAGCTCAGTGGTTTAAGCACCTGCCTCGCAAGTGCACGGACCAGGGTTCGATCCCCAGAACCACATGCCATGCCAGTACAGCGCTGAGCCAGCCACCGAAACTGGGTGTGGAGGCACATACCTGCAATTACAGATCTGGGGACGCTGAGATAGGAGGATCACCACAAGTTCAAGCTGCATAGTGAGACCCTGTACCAAATAAATAAATAAGATAAAGTATAGGCTCAAATAAGCCCCCAGTCGTCTAGGAATTTATGATCTTTCCTTCCAACAAATAAAGAGGCAACATTTAAAAGAGAAAAAAATTAGTACCATAGAGGAAGCTGTCACTGCCAGCAATCCTGTTCTTCTTACCATGGAGTCTTCAGAACTGCCTCTTTTCAGGGAAGCTGAGTCTTTCAACAGCTTCCAGTGAGCACCTCATCTCTGCACAAAATCTACTTTGTTATTCTTTTTTTTTTTTTTTTTGATACAGAGTCTCACTCTACATTTTGGACTCATAGTGATCTGCCTGCACCACTGAGCTTTCTTCCCAGCCATCTACTTTGTTATTCTAATCCATGTGTCGTTGGATGTGTTTTCTCTTGGGTCCAACAGCAGAACATTCTGAGAAGTTAGCGTCATCTCGAAGGCCCAGGGCAATGAGAGTTGTGACTCTGCAGTCGAGCTCTTCATCTTAGAGTGCGCGTCAGGCCGCATGGACTATGTGAGAGCTACGCGCTTGGAGCAGGGAGCCTCAAAAAGGGCGATTCACTAAAAGCTCTTATGTCTATAAATTTGACAACACAGATGAAATGAGTAAACTCTTTGAAAAACCCTGAAGCAAATAGCAAAACCTAGCTAATTCATTTGTTGGATCTGCCATCCATATTTCAATTTTGTTGATTGACCTAATAATGCCCTGATAGCCTTCTTTTCCTCCCCTTATAGGAGCCAGTCTAATGTCAGGGTACAGTGGCTCCTCTGGTAAAAACAAAACCCATTGAATTGTCTGTTTTGGTCCCAGACTGTAAAAGAACATGGATGACCCTTCAGAGAGTCTTAGAACCTAGGTACTTGCTGTGACAAACCAGTTTTTTGTTTTGCTTTTTATTTTTCAGACAGGTTCTCACTATATAATTCAAGCTCCCCTTGAATTCGCTGTGTAGTCACCATTCTAGCCTCCAAATTAGCGCAATTCTCCTGCCTCAGTTGCCCAAGTTCTAGAATTACAGGGTGTGTATCATCAAAGAGAAGTCATTCATTTGTATTTTTTGTTATGAAAATTTTGAGGCTAGGGATATAGCTCAGTCATAGAGCATGATCAAAGTAAAGTACTTTTTTTTTTTTAAATGTTTTGAGACAGAGTCTTGCTATGTAGTTCAGTGTGCCCTTGAATTTACATATAACTCCACACTAGTGGCCTCACAGAAATCTTCCTGCCTCAGCCTGCCCAGTGCTAGGATTACAAGTGTGTATTGCACCACACCCAACAAGTACTGATTTTTAAAAAGGGAAATTCAGAGGTAGTAAATCTGAAATCAGGAATAACATTCAGTAAATGGGGCTTGGAAACAATTCTACTTCTGGAATTATGGTCAACCTAATAGTATATCATTCTGCTACAAACTATCTAGAGATGTTGAATAAAACATAATCATCATTTGAAATATGAAGGTGAGCTGAGCTGATAATATCAGCAACAAAATATGAACTGAGAAATAAAATTAAATGGTAGGTCTTTGACGAGGCTTGTAGCTTAGTGATAAAATTAGATGCTCAGGACTAGTAAGGCCCTAGGTTCAATCCCTAGCACCAACACAAATAAAACACACAAGTAGTCGACCTACTTCTGAGGCAATGTGGCAAAGACCACAGTTCTCTGGCTGTAATAATTTAGGAGCTTGGGTTTTTTTTTTTCTATTTTTATTTATTTTTTTGGTACCAGGGATCGAACGTGGGACCTTGTGCTTGCCAAGAAGTCACTTATGGTGCTGAGCTATAACCATGGCCTTGATCTTGGGTTTTTTTTTTTTTTTTTGAACCAGCCTTAGTTTATTATTGACAAGCTTGTATTAGACGGGACAAGCAAGTAGGGCAGCAGAAGATTCATCGGTCTCCTGTTATGAGGTGTACGCCAGGTCAACTGGACCTCGGCTGTGTCCACTGGTCCGTGGATCCGTCAATGTGCAAGCACGCCTGCATACTGCCAGTGCACAGCTTGCTGTTTTTCTCTTTTGTGCTTGAAGAGAAAGTCCTTTAGGCCTCGATCCTCATTATCTG